GGGGGGGGGGCGAGGGGGGGGTCGTGGCCATGACCTGACACGCTGGTGATGCGGTCACAGCCACAGCCACAGCCACAGCCACTCCCTGCACTTGACTCTACATCCATACCGCCGAAGGCTGCCTGAAACAACGTGCACTCTTCCCCCTCCCCTACCTACCCCTACACCCCCCCCCCCCCCTTACTCGCTGCAGTGGCTTCCGTAGCTATCCGTGGTCTGCTAGCATGACAGGTCGGAGCAGAGGAGACACAGTTGGAAGGAAAGGACCAAGGAAGGGCACGCGTCGGAAGGACAGGTCCAGGCGCAGGCGCGGACGGAGGCAAGATGATCGGAGCGGCCGGATTGGTGGTGGCGGTGGTGGTGGCGGTAGCCGGAGCGATGGGAATGGCGCGGGGCAGGTGTCAATGTGGATCAGGGCACCGCTCTGTCCGAGGTATGCACCGGAGCAGCATCCGTGCTCGGTCGGCGTGGGCGACACGGTGATCTGCCCGGCACTCGCATGCCGTGGCACGGTGGCGTATGTGGGCTATGTCGAGTCGGCGCCGGGTCTCTGGGTCGGCGTCCTCGCCGCCCAGCTGTCGCCGGCGGTGCTGGCGGAGAAGCTTGATGTGGCGACGGGCGGCGCGGCGGCGGCGATTCCGCGCAAGGGCGCCAAGCTTGCCGGCCCAACCGACGGGGTGCCGGATGGTGTGTTTTACTTTGGCCGCATCCGCGGACGCCGCGGCTTCTTTGCCCGCCCGTCACAGCTCAAACTCGCGGCGCGAGCGCCTGTGGCCGTGTCGGCGTCGTACTCGACCGCCCTGCGGCGAGCGCAGGAGGCGCAAGCGGCGGCGTTTGCGAGTATCAGCGCCGCCACGTCATCCAGCAGTGCGCCAGTGCCTGAGCTGCCGTATGCCGACGACGACGATCCGTCGGCGCCGTCACCGGTGCCAATTGTCGTTCCGGACATTGCGTTGCTTGCAGCGAGCGTCCCAGACCTCGACGCGGGCGAGAGTACAGAGATCGAACCCGATCTGGTCAAGTCATACGTCCTGCTCGCCGAGCGAATTGCAGCTGCGGGTGGGCTCTCGACAGGCGGCGAAGAGACGGTGCTGCTGGCGGCCACGTCGACGCCCGAGACCCTCGAGTACGAGTACGAGACATCATCCGAGGGAGAAAGCACCGACGCTCGCTTGTTGTGCAAGGCGTACGCGGTGTACACGTGGGCGCCGCAAGAAGACGGCGAGCTCGGATTTGAACGTGGTGAGTACCTTGATGTATACCAGTTTGCGAATGGCTCGTGGTGGTTTGGGGCGAAGGCCGACGGAAGCCAGGGTCTGTTCCCAGTCATGTGCGCCACGCCTGTACTTGCCATTATGGCTGCGGCCAGCTCGCGACCGGCCGAGGACGATGACGAGCTGTCCCTCAAAGCTGACGAACACATCTCTGTCCTCGCCTACTCATCAAGCGACTGGTACCTCGGACTCAACTCGTCGGGGGACAAGGGCCTGTTCCCGGTCTCCGCCGCGACAACTGTCACCGAGTACTTGGTGCCGGACGGACACGACACCAGCTCACATAACTGGTTTACCTGATGGTTTGGGCCAACTCCCACAGCCGCGGCGCAACGAGGTCGCGCGGGGTGAGCGCAGCACCGTCATCGTCGCTGACGGCCGTGTAGAGCGCGATGTAGCCGGTGTCGTTCACAGGATCCCACTCGCCGTCGGCAAGAGGCGACGGCTCGACGTTGGCGTCATCTGCGAGCCACCACGTCTGGCTTGCCGGATCACGCACGTGTGCAGTGTAGTGGCCGGCGTTGGCGGTGCCGCTGTGGCACACAACTGCAGCGAGCTGGTAGGCGGGCGCGTCGGCGTCGGCATCGGCATCGACGTCGGCATCGGCACCGGCGTCGGGCCTGTTGAGCAGGTCAGCCTTGCTCAGTGTGGCCGGAATCTCCAACGACGAGTTGACTTTTCGGCGAGTAAAGGTGATAAAGTCAAAGTCGATGCGCGCAAGTGTGAAGACGAGGACCGGTGGGAGGTCGGGATCGAGCGAGTGGCGCATGATGGCATCGCGGTGGACGCCGCACTGTGAGCACGAGTACTGGTTGTCGCCGTCAAACGTTTCTGACGTGAGAAAGGTGTCATGCAGCGACGCCACGAGCGACAGCTGGCCGGCAACACGGACCTGGAGCGAGAACGCAGGATCGGCCCGCTCGCTAACATGCCCCTCAGAGCAGGTGATGGTCCGCTTCACCGAGACCGTGAGCAGTGACGAGATGAGGTTGGGAGATGGACCGACAGCCTCGCCCGACACCTCGACGACGGTGTCAGCGGCGAGCTCCGAGTCGAGCGCGCCGATGAGGACCGCATACAGCTCCTGGGCGTCGTGGCCCTGGGCGAGGTCGGCCCCGGACCAACCAAACGCGGCGGCGAGATCGCGAAGCTCTGCCGCTTGCTCGCGCGGGCCCGCGATGCAGCGCGCCATTAGCCGCTGCAGTGCGCCTGTGATGCGGTACGACGGATGGTCGTCCTCCATCGCGCTCCTGGCACAGGCCTCGACAGCATCGGAGAGTGGTGTGCCAGCAGCGACGGCGTCGGCCACCTTGTCGCCATCCGGATTGTCCCAGAATAGCAGGCGGTTGCGGATGGGTGGCACATGGGTCAGCGCCTGAACGAGAACAGCCAGATAGTCTGATGCGCCTGGATTGCGGATGCCTGTCGGTGGCAGCAGTTCTGAATCTGCCTCGACGACGGATTCAGCCATGGTTGGAAGGTTTGCGAGCCGGCTTCCAAAGAAAGGGGGGAAGGAAGGAGGAGTGGTGGGGCGAGGGAAGTGGCGAGGGCGGAGGGGAGAGGGAGAAGTGTGTGTGTGTGTATGTGTGTGTGGTGGTGGCACAAGTGGGAGAGGGCGAAGTGTGTGGTGTGTGGTGTGTGTGTGTGTGGTGTGTGGGGGGGGGGGCCGGCCAGTGGCGGCGAGTGGAGGGCCAGCGAATGGTGGCCGGCAATCGGGCGGCAATGGCTGGTGACCGGTGGCCAGACCCAACTCGTTGCGGCGCAGTGCAAGCGCGGGCGGGTGAGACAGATTTCCGGCACCGCTTGTCGACGCGCTGCAGCTACGCTAGCTGGAGCTTGGTTTGAGAAATAGCGCTCTCTTGTGTGTGGTATGCCGAACGAGAGCGAGGCGGTGGTGGCGAGGCAAGGCGGCGCAGGCGACGGCGGAGCGGAGGAGGGTGCTCCTGCAGAGGCTCGCGGAGGGGGGGAGGACGGCTCAAGACGGCAGGGAGGGGGGCTGATGCACCCAGATACGCCGCCGCTGCGGGGCGCGCTGCCGGCTATTGAAGTGGAGCATGGAAGAAGGAGTGGCCGCAGCGGCCGCCATGGGCGTGGCCGCGGTCGAGGCCACGCCAGCCGGAGTACGGCGCGCCGGCGGCTCCCGCTGGTGCCGGGCGGAACGCGAGTGGCAGAGCAGATGTTGAAGATCCGAAGAAAGCGCGCGCGCAACGACTCGGTCCGCTTCTATCTCAACGACGCGGTCGACTCGCTGCGCAACGACATTCGCGTCATGTGTGCCCGCCGGCCCATCAACGCCCCGCCGCCGGTCTCGCGGCCGTGGTTCGGCGGAGTTCGGCCCGAGCAAGTGCACGCTGCCCAACCGCCGACTGCGTTTCACTCCGAGGACCGTGCCGCTGTGCGGGTCGAGCGGTTGCCGGCCATCCGCAAGCCTGCGCTCTCGCCAACGTCGCTCGTCGTCGAGACCGTTCGCAATCCGATGCAGAGCTCCACCGCTCGCAAGCCGGCACTCCTTGCAGCACTCGAGCGTGAGCTGGAATCCTCGCTTCGAGGCGTACCTGACGATGTGTCAGGTGCACGTGATGCGTACTCGGCCCATGCCGCCATTCTCGACAGGCTCGCAGGCGCGTTCGGCGTCTACGGCTCGCTCCTCGCGCGCATCCACGGCGCAACCGCCGCGTACGTCAGGACGCTCGAGGCGGGCGCGAGGAGCAGTCCGGACGGTAGTCACAGTCATGCACATGCTGCCGCTCCTTCATCGTCCGCTCCCCCAACGCCCCCTCGCCCGCGCCCAGCCCGCCCCGCGCCGTGGTTGAGACTGCGACCCAGATGACTCCGGCCGCCTCGCCTCTCCCGCTCACCCCCGAGCCGCCTTCCCCGCACGAACGTGACTCTAGGCTTCGCGCAGCGCCAGACCACGAGGTGGCATGGATGCGCGAGCGCATCACCATTCTCCAAGCTCAAGTCAACGAGATGCGGCGCGGGCTCGACGATGCTCACCGAGCCAACGAGCTGCTCCACTCCCAGCTCCACGACGCTGATATCCAGTACCAAGAGCTGTACGACAAGTTCCTTCTTCTCACCGCCGATCACATGCATGCCCAGCAGCGCAAGTAGTTGGAGTGCGTGCGATTTGTAAAGTGGTTTCCCGACCCACGAAGCCTCTCCCGACGACTCGATGCCGCCCGGCTCCCACACCCTCCAGTTGGCGCCAACCGTTCTCAGCTGCCAAGCGTCGCACCCAACGCCCGCCATGGCCTCCGACACGTTGGACTTTGGCTCTTTGGACATGCCTGCCAAGACACCGTCCATGGACATGGCCGAGGCTGCTCTTGTGGTATGTGAGTGGGTGTGGGTGGGTGTGGGTTGGTGGGTGGGTGTGGCCGGGGAACGGGAGGAGGGGAGGGAGGGCAGGAGACTCACGGGCGACTTGGACGACCTCGGGATGGGCGGCACCGGTGCAGAGAGAGTTGATCAAGGCGCTACGCGAGCCGGAGGATGTTGTTAAAGTCTGGCTGGTGCTGGAGGAGAGCGAGCAACAGCGCGTGCTCTCGTATTGCTTTGCCTGCCTTGACGAGCCCGACATGTTTCTCGAGGCCGGTGACCTGCTCACGATCATCATCCCGCACATCACCTCACGCAAGCTCAAGGAATGGGCTGTTTCGTACGTTATCCTTTCATTTCCTACTCCTACTCCTTGCTCATTGTCCACAACTCACGCCATCACGCCCTGCATCGCAGCATCCTGCGCTACATCCGCGAGGAGACGCGGTACACAGAGACGCGCAAGACTGTGCTGGGCATCTTGTGGGACACCGGCTTGCTGTAGCCTTACCGTCTGCGGCGGCGTGGCGCATGTCAGAGCTTGCCGTCAGCCTTGAGCGCCTTGCGCAGCCGTGAGAGACGGGCCTGGAACTCGGGCGCAAGCTTGCCGCTAGCCATCACCGCCATAAAGTCAGCATAGGCTCCGGCCGGGTTGTCCATGGCGTCGTGGGCCATGGCGCGGCGGAGGAGCGCCTTGCTGGTGTCCGCCAGCTGGCCCAGCGCCAGCGCAGCGTCACAAGCGGCGACAACGTCTTCAAACCGGCGCAGCTGCATGTAGCATGCTGCGGCGTTGAGATGGTACACCGCGCGCCCGTCGTCGTCTGCCTTTGCACGCGCCAGCGCCTCAGAGTATGCCTCCAGCGCGGCTTCAAACTTGCCAAGCTTGAACAGCGCGTTTCCCTTGGCCTTGGCTGACGGCGCGTCACTGATGACCATCGCTGCCGCCGCCGCCGACTCCTCGGCCACCGACGCCCGAGCCGGCGCCGCACCTCCAGGGCCTCGGCCTGACTCTCCGCCTGTACCTGCCGCCGCCGCTGCCGCCGCCGCCGCCTCGGCATCGGCCAGCGCCTTGGTCAGCGCGGCATCGTTGGGCGCGAGCGCGAGGCCGGCGGTCAATGCGGCGATAGCGGCGGCGTGAGCGCCAAGCGCAGCGTGCGCCTGGCCGACTCGGTAGTGGGCCTTGGGCCAGTCCGGCCGGAGGCGGGCAGCATCCTGCGCCGCCGCCAGTGCCTCGTCCCACGCCGCCATCTTGCCAGCTGCCATCGACTTGTTGCCCAGAATGGCCGCCGCAGTTTGAGCCAGCTCGCTACCTGCGTCGACCTCGCCAAGCACCTCGAGAGCCTTGTCGTACCACTGAACCGCCAGCGCCAGCTCACCTCTCCGCACGCATCCGTTTCCCTTGTCCTTGAACAGCTGTGCCCGCGAGGTAGCCACCGCCATGATTGCCGCCAAGTCGAGTGAAAGGCTGTGTGGGTGAGCGCAATTAGGCGAAGAGCGAGCGACGAGCGACCGGCGTCGAGCGGGCGACCGGCCAAATCCGCCACAGCAAAATGGTCCCCGTAACCAAATTCGGCCACTTTTCTTCCGAGCCATCAATGAGCGACTTGACCCAGGCCCTGCTCGCGGTCCACGAGGGGAGTACGTAGCACGGGACAAGTGTGGGGAGAGAGTAGCTGGTGTGGTGAGGGATGGCTACGGGTGGAGGTTGGCTGCTGTGGTTCATGTCTGCTGTGGTAGCGCTCTGAATATGCCCTCGTGTAGTCGGACATCGGCCCCAATTTTCCCTTCGCCGCGTCTTGGCGCGCGTTCGCACCGTGTCGCATGCTCGCAGCCACAGAGCTGGTGGCTCCGCGGGGCGCACCCCGCATGGACTACCTGCCGTCGAGAGCTCATTATACGGGTGAGATGGGACATGCTAGCATGGTGCGAGCCGGAGCGGGGTGAGGCCAGCATGCGGGGCGAGAGGGGGGGGGGGGGAGGAAGGAGGGGGTGGCGGCGAGTCGGTGAGGAAAAGGTCGCAGACGATCCAAACTCACGGAGTGGCCGGGGTGGGACCGGGTGTGCGTGACAGCTAACGAGGCTCGCCAGGAGGCCGAGGCGTACCTCAACTCGCTCCGAGTCTCCAACTATGGTGGTTACATGCTTGGGCTCTGCCACGAGCTTGTGGGCGGCCCAACAGAGGTGTCGCGGCAGCTTGCCGGCCTTGCGCTGAAGGTTCTTCTGGACGCGCGCGACCCAATTACCAAGATGAAGCTTGCGCAGGCGTGGCGCGAGCTCGACGAAGAGACGCGGATGACGATCAAGAACGGGCTGTTTCAGACGCTGGGCTCTGATGCGACTGCGGCGATGACGGCTGCGGCTGTTGTGGCGAAGATTGCTGCCATCGAGCTGCCGGAGCAGATGTGGCCTGGGCTTGTCGAGGCGCTGTTGCAGAACATGACGGTGATGGACAACGACATGCTGCGTCAGTCGACGCTGGCATGCCTGGGATACATCTGCGAGGGTGTCAAGCGCGAGGTGCTTGCGGCGCAGAGTGGGCAGATTTTGACTGCGGTCATGTCTGGTGTGGAGGAGACGGAGCGGAACGACAATGTGCGGCTGGAGGCTACCAAGGCGCTGTACAATGCGCTCGAGTTTGTGTCTGACGCATTTGAGGTTCCGGACGACCGCGACTACATCATGACTGTGGTTTGCTCTGCGACGCAGGCGTCGGACACGCGAATCCGGCGTGCGGCACTCGAGTGCCTTGTCCGCATTGCGTCGTTCTTCTACGGCAACATCCAGCCGTACATGGAGGCGCTGTACCAGCTGACGTTTGAGGCAATCCGGTCGGACCCGGAGCAGTCTGCGCTGCAGGCCATCGAGTTCTGGTCGACGATCTGTGAGGAGGAGATCTTCCTCCACCTCGAGGCCGAGGACGCGCAGCAGCGCGGGCAGCACCCCAAGTCGGTCTCACTCGAGTACGTGGCGACGGTGCTCGGCCCGCTGGTGGAGCTGCTGACGCAGACTATGTGCCGGCAGGAAGAGGACCAGCAGCCGACGACGTGGAACATCTCGATGGCGGCCGGCACGTGCCTCAACCTGGTGGCCAAGGACGTGCGCGACGCTGTGCTTGAGTACGTTGTGCCGTTTATTGTGGGCAACGTCGAGGGCGAGTCGTGGCGCCATGTTGAGGCCGCCATCTTCGCCTTTGGCTCCATTCTGGAGGGCGTGTCGTCCGCGGCTGTTGGTGAGCTCATCGCCATGGGCTTGCCGACCTTTGCCACGCTCATGGGCTCGGACGTCCTGCTCATTGCCGAGTCTGCGGCATGGACCATTGGCGCGGTGTGCAAGTACCATGCCGAGGCCATTCCGTCGGAGCACGGCCCGGCGCTGTTGGAGGCCATCAACGATGGGCTCGGCGCATCGCCGCGTGTCGCAGTCTCGTGCTGCTGGGCGCTGCACAACCTGGCTAAGGTCTTTGCCCAGCCCGACGCCGACACGTACGGCCTCTCGCCGTTCTTTGCTGACCTTGCCGTCACGCTGCTCTCGGTCACCGTCCGTGGCGACGGCGACATGTCCAACCTGCGGGGCACGGCGTACACCACGCTCAACGTCATGATCGAGTCTTCGGCCAAGGATTGCCTCGTCCACGTCTCGTCTGTCTTTGCCACCCTCCTCGAGCGGCTCGGGGAGACGCTCGCGTACGAGATTTCCTCTGCCGACGAGATGACGCAGCGGTCAGACCTGCAGGGCCTCATTTGCTCTTCGCTTCAGGCGATTATCGAGCGGGTCGAAGGCGACATTATGGGCCACGCCGACAGCCTCATGGAGGCCTTCCTCGCCGTCCTGCGGTGCCGGACCGACACAGTCCATGAGGAGGCGATGGTGGCCATCGGCGCCCTGGCCCGGGCTATCGACGAGGACTTTGAGCCGTACATGAACGCGTTCTTCGAGTTCCTCATGGCCGGCATCAAGTCGCACCAGGAGCCCGACGTGTGCATCGTCTCCATCGGCGTGCTCGGCGACTGCTGCCGGGCGCTCGAGAAGAGCATGGCGCCGTATGCCGACGACATCATCGGCGCCCTCATTGCCAACCTCAACCACGGCGCCCTGCCCGACAGGGTCAAGCCGGTCATCCTCGCCGCCTTTGGCGACCTCGCCCTCGCCATCGAGGCCGCATTTGCGCCGCACGTCAACCCGGTTATGCAGCTCCTCTGCCAGGCCTCGCAGGTCTTTGTCGACACCTCGTACCCGGAGCTGGTCGTCTACCTCAACTCGCTCCGCGAGAACGTCTTTGAGGGCTTCACCGGCATCATTCAGGGCCTCCGCGAGGCCAAGAAGGAGGCTCTCCTTGACGGCTACGTCGAGCACCTCTTTGCCTTTATCGGCCATGTCTACAAGGACGAGTTCCGCTCCGAAGAGGTCACCCGCGCCGCCGTCGGCTGCCTCGGCGACCTCGCCCACACCTACGGCACCGACGTCGGCGGCTACCTCAAGCAAGAGTGGGTCCTCCCGCTCATCCGCGAGCTCGACGGCTCGGACGATGAGGACACGATCGAGGTCGCCACCTTTGCCCGCCAGACCGTCCGTCGCTACCGCAAGTAGACGGGCCACCATGCACGTACCCTCTTCCACTGCTCCACGCACACTCACTCGCACTCGCACCACTCCACACGCTCATGCACACCACATCCCTCACACACTCTCTCTCACTCTCACTCTCACTCTCACCTCCACATCCAAACGCGAACAAAGAAAAACAAGCAACCGCTTGCCTCCTTGACCAGGTGCGGGGAAAAAAGCCCCAAAACCCCGGTGGAGAACACTCTCAGCAGCTAGCGGGCTGTGGCGGAGGAGACACCCGCACTCGTCCCACGCCCCCTCTTGCCGTCAAGACAAGCACAGCAGAGACGAGTCTGCGCAAGCAGTAAAGCGCAAGCACTTCCCGTAGACCCATCAGGTAGCTGCCTGCGATTACACTCGGTTCGCCGTAGCCGTCGTCTGGATCGTCTCCAGCGCACAAAGCGAGCGCGGCCGCAACGTGGCCAATGCCATTCCCGCCGCGGCCCAATGTGGTCCACACCACCTACGAGGGCTCGCTTACGCCGATTGCTACCGAACCAATGTGTGCACTCATACCCCTCGACTCTGTGACCATGGACGTGCAGACAACCGAGGCTGGACCCGATTTCCGCAGTCTGGGTCGGCGACGCGTCGCCAGGTCGGGCTGTGCCCCGGAAGGCTCGATCGGCCTCGGCGAGCGAGTGCGACTCAGCCTTCCGCCGCTGCCCACTTTACGTCCGACGGCACCGACTCCGGCCAGCACTCCGGCCACCACGCCCCTGGCTATCTCGCAGCACCCGCTGTCTCTCTCGTCGTGCTCGTCGGCTCTGCTGTCGTCGTATCCGTCCTCGTCAGCCTCCTCGCCTCCGCTCGCGCTGCACCCCGCCGTCGCTGCCCGTAGCATGCGCCCGGGGCCAGGCTCGGGCTCGGGCTCGCGGTCACTCTCTCGGTCACGGTCGCGGTCGCGGTCGCGGTCGCTAGAACGAGACCGCAGTACCGGACTTGCTGTCCTGGGCGAGGGCGAGCACTCGAGCGCGTCGGCGTCAGCGTCAGCGTCGGCGTCGTCAGCGGCGAGCCGGTCGCGCCGGTCGCGCGCGCCAAGCCGGTCGTCGTCGTCGATGCGCCACCGGGCATCTCGCCGCCGCCGGTGCTCGTCGGTTGAGCCGTCAAGTGTCCGGCTGGGGGCAGCGCCGACCCAAGTCGCTTCCGATCAGGCGTTGCAGGTCGAGTCTCGTTGTGCGGTGTGCGGCGGAAAGCGGGTGTCGCCGCGATCGTCCGGGCTGGCCGGCGACGAGTGCGACGATGCCGGTGGCGCACGATCTGGCGACGATGATGACCTTACCCGACGGGCTCGTCGCCGCGACCGCCAGGTCTGCCAGTGCACGGCCCGGCTGCGCGAGCAGCGCAACCGCCGCCGACAAGCCGAAGTCATCGCCTCGGTTGCCGCCGAGCGCGGCATGACCGTCTCGGCGTTCTCCGGGCAGCCGACAGGCCCGACTCCGATCCAAGCCACGCGAGAAGCACCCAAGCTGCCGGCTCGTGCCATGGCAGCTCTCGCCTCGGTCGGTGCACTCCCAGCGTCTGGCGGAGGAGTCACGACCCGGCTTGAGTCGCTCGACGACAACGTCATGGCCTGCATCCTCGCCCACCTGCCGCCAAATGATCAGGACGCGCTTGCCCTCGTCTCACACTCTGTGTGCAACAAGGTCCTCCACGTTCGTGCCGTCGACGATATCATTGCCCGCACCTCATCGCTCACCTTTTCGTCACCGTCGCTGCCCGAGCCGCACCCGTGAGCGAGAGCCGCCTGCCGCCCCAACCCCATGGTCCCCTTCCTTGTTGGACCACCACTCCCCCTCCTCCGCCTACTGCCACCATCACTACCAACACTAGCACTTGCAGCTCATCACTACCTTTACAAATCCACACACGTCTTGTTCTCGCGCTTCATTGGCTATTTCACGTCCGCCCGGGAAAAAGCGCACCAACGAGCGGCAGCCGGCAGCAGCTCCCACTCTCACTCGCACCACCGACTATCGACTCTGACTCCTCTCGCAACCCCTCTCGGCTCCGGCCCCATCATGGCCAACACGTACGAGTTCGAGGCACCGCAGTTTGTCGACTTTGACGACATCGACGCCACAGACGCCCATGCCGACGAGTGGTTCAGTACGCTACCTTTGCCTGTCCCCCCCCCCCCTCCCCCCTGCCTGCCCCTCTCTGTCGGCCAAAGTTTTCAAACTTTCGCGATGGGCGTTTTTGGCGCCTCCCGCAGGTCACGCTCGCCCCTGTGGATGGTGCCACGATCAAGAAGGCATGGTTACTCACAGTCTGCGGATGAGTGTGGGTGTAGCTAACAAACCAGAGGATGCATGTGCGCCTGTCGCCAACATCATGGGCGTACCGACCCTGTCACCGACGTTCGCCTCGTCGCCAGCGGCAGCCGCCGCGCCTCCGTCGCCCCGGCGCCGGAGCATGACCATGCCGTGGCTGACAACATGCTTCCGGGCACTCCAGTGAGTGCCGCTGCGGCGCAGCCGCTCGCGGCTGTCCCGGCCCGTGTGGCACTGACTGCCGTCATGGCATCCCCGCCTGGCGTTGCTCACATGGCCGATGTCTCGCGGCCGGGTGCGATGTGCACCCCGTCACGGACGCCGGCAGTTGTTGACCTCGACGAACAGCAGCTTCCAAGCTCGCCCGAGCCGCTCCCAATGCCTGCAGTCCTTATGGCTGAAGCTGAGGCTGAGGCTCAGGGTGAGGCTCAGGCCGAGGCTGAGGCCGACGCAGACGCGGACGCAGACGCAGACGCCGAGGTCGAGATCATGGACGCCACGTATGCTCCAATCACGCATGCGCCTCTTATTGCTGCAGACGAAATCATGATGTCACCGCTCAAGGCCGAGTTGCCGAGCCCGGCCGATGAGCCCCTTGCCCTGCGGGACATTGTCGCCGAGAACATCATCGCCGAAGACGTCATCGCCGAAGACGTCATCGCCGAAGACGTCATCGCCGACGACGTCATCGCCGAAGACGTCATCGCCGAGACTGTCGAGCCGGAGGCCGCCACCGGCTCCGCCGATGACTCGTTTACCATTATGTCGGCATCGCTGACGTCGTCCACCAACGGCCCCCGTTCGCTGCTGGCAAGCTCGCTGCGGTCGCGGCCGATCCGGGTCCGAAAGGTTGAGCAGCGCGAGATTTCGTCGTCGCCCGAGCCCGAGGCCGATACCACGGTCGTGCCCGCTTCGGCCGCTGCTCCGGCCGCCGCCTCGGTCCGTCCCAAGACGGCCGCAGGTGAGCCCAAGCCGAGGCCGCGCGCCAAGCCGCGTGCCAAGCCCGAGGCAAAGCCGCAGGCCAAGCAGGCCCGGAGACAGGCAGCCCGCGGCGGCGCCAAGCCAAGCGCTCGGGTTCCACGATTCCTTCAGCCGACGGCGGCGTGGAAGGCTCGCGAGGCTGCTCGCGCTGCGGAAGCCAAGGCCGAGGCCGCGGCCAAGAGCGAGGTCAAATCGGGGGCCAAGGCAGCCCGGAAGCGGCGGCCAAAGACGTCAGCCGGCCGCGCGCCGCGGTTCTCGCGACCGACCGTGGCGTGGAAGGCACGCGAGGAGGCGGTCGAGAGCGAGGCCAAGGCCGAGGCCAAGGCGCGGAGCAGCCACCGGCCGCGGACCGCGCCGGCGCTGACGGTGCCCAAGACGCCAGCGTTCCAGCGCCGCGAGCGGGCCAAGCCCAAGACCAAGGCTCTCACGTCGGAGGAGCTCGAGCTGCATGCAATTCGCGAGGCGCGAGCCGAGCTCAAGCGGCAGATGGTGAAGAACCGCAAGCGTGCGGCGCGGCCCAAGAAGGCGCCGGTTTCCAAGCGCTCAGTCAAGCCGCTGACCGAGCCGGTTGCCTTCCGCTTCCACACCGATTCGCGGATCAAGAGCAAGCCGGCGGCCGAGTCGCCGCGGCCCGCAGAGCGCTCGAAGCGCCTCGCCGGAGTGCGCAAGGCCAAGGTGGCGGCGACCCAGCCGCGGCCGTTCCACTTTGCCTCGGACAAGGGTCCCATCCACGCATCGGCCTCGTTTGTCTCCACGGCCGAGGCCGTCAACGCCTTCCTCGCCAAGACGCCTACCCGGTTCAAGACCAAGCCGGCGCCGATGGCTGCATCGCGCCCGCTCCAGCTAACCATCCCGGTCACGCCCAAGTTTGCCACAGACGCTCTCGCCAAGCGCGAGAAGCACGCCGTACTCTCAACCGAAGACGCCGAACTGGAGGCTATCAAGGCTCATCCCGGCTTCAAGGCTCGCCCGGTCAACGCCAAGATCTTCGAATCGTGCGGTGACTACGGAGTGCCCAAGGTGGCGCGCGTCAAGCCGACCCGCCCCATCACGCCCACATTTGCCTCTGACTCGCGCATTGGCCGCCGCACCCATGATGAGCCCGCCGACCCGCCGTCATTCACCTTTAAGGCCCGCCCGGTCCCACGCTCGGTGTACAAGGCGCCGCCGCCGCCGGCAGGCCCGGTTTCGGCGATCAAATCGCTCACCATCCCGCACTCACCAGCGCTGGCAACCAAGGACCGCGCATCGCGGCGACCCGAGCCGGTGCTTTCGGACGAGCCGCCGCGGCCGAAGTTCAAGGCCGGTCTCATGCCGGTCTTTGACTCGCCTGAACCGCTGCCGACGCCCAAGCGCAAGCCGCTCACCGTCCCGGTCCCGTTCGAGCTTGCGTCGGACGTCCGCGGTGCCAAGTACCGCGCCCGCATCGAGGCTGAGCGTGAGGCGCAGGCCGCCGCCGCTGCCGCCGCCGCCAAGTTTAAGGCCACGCCGCTGCTCGACCTGGAGACGCCCGACCCGCTCCCGCGCGCGGCGCCCAAGGAGCTCACCGTTCCGATCCCGTTCGAGCTCGAGTCGGTCAAGCGCCACGAGGCTGCCGAAGCCTCGCGCGCCGCACGCATTGCCGCCGAGCTCGAGGCCGAGGCTGCCCAGTTCTCGTCCTTCGCCGCCAAGCCCGCGCCGGCCCATGACCTCCCGGTCTTCACCCCGCGCCGCTCCGCCGCGCCGCTGACCGAGACTCAGCCGTTTGATCTCAACACCTCGCGCCGCGCAGAGGAGCGCGAGGCCAAGGCCGAGGTCAAGGCCGCCGAGGATGCAGTCCTCGAGGCCGAACGCGCCGCCATGGCTGCTGCCCGTGCCCGCGAGGAGGCCGAAGAGCTCGCCGAGTTCCGCAAGTCGCTCGACTTTAAGGCCCAGCCCATCCGCCACTACGCTCCGATCCGGGTCAAGGTCTCCGAGGCCCAACTGACCGTCCCGGTCTCCCCTCAGTTCCGCACCTCCAAGCGCTCTAAGCTCCGTGCCTAGCTGTAAACTGTATTCATCATGGACTCTGGACTCGTCGACACTCGACGGGCCCACCACTCGACGGGTCAGCCGCTCGACGGGTCGACCACTCGACGCCACTGCGCCATGGTCAGCCGCAGAAAGAAGCAGAAGAAGGCGCAGTCGCGGACTGTCGACTTTAAGGTACGCCTTCATTGCCAAGCATCCCCTGCACCCTCCCTTTTCCAAGGTACTTCTCCCCTCCTCTGTCCCTATAACTCCCCTCCCTTGACTCGGGCCAGGAGAGATGGATGCCGAAGATGGACGAGGCAAGAGCCCACCGCCCGACACAGAGCCATAGAACCGTGCCACAGCCAACCAACCCCTTCCCCCCCCCCCCCCCCCCCGCACACACACCTTTCGGTGCAGTCGACCACATGAGACCTGGACTGCAGAGAGGGCTCTCCCTGGGCATGCCACCTAGCATGTCCAGGGCGGCCTGTGCCACGCCAGGCGACGACTCACAGCATGCGTTGATGGCGATGGCCATGGGAGGCATGGACAGAAACGGAAGGATGGAGTGGGCAAGACAAAAAAAGGCAAGAGAACCAGACGGACACTCGGTTTAAGGCCAAGACGCTGGTCATGCCATCGCAGATGACCCAGTACGGTGAGGCCTCGCTCGAGGCGCGGACGTCACTGGCCCACGGCGCGTCTACCAACGAGACCATGACCGATGTGGCGAGCGCGTTCACCTCGCGCGGGCTGGTCCTTCCTGAGCTGCTGAGCCAAGTCAAGCACTTTAACGCCCGCATGCGATCGTCGGCACTCGAGGGCATCACCGAGCTGGTGGTCAAGTATCCGGCCATGGTGGCGTACAACATCCGACTCACGGTTCTCGGCGTGCTAGAGACGCTGCTAGACGTCGACTCTGGGGTCCGAGCTGCAGTTCGCAACCTGCTTGCCAAGCTCTTCCACGGCATGGCGATCGGGCGCGGAGGGAGTAGCCTCGCCGTCTTTGCGCCGTACGTGGCGCACCTGGTCCTGTACATCTCGTCGGGTATGTCGCACCTCGAAGACTCGGTCCGGCTTGATGCAGTCCGCTCGCTTGACCTTGTTGTCACCTACTTTCCGTGGCGCATTGCCGCATCGGCACCGGCGCTCCTCGACTCGCTGCTGTACATTGCGACCGGGACCCACGTAGCGAGCTCGGGAAAAGGCCCGGCGCTGACGCTGACCGGCACGCCATCGGGCGTGGCAAGCTCGTCGTCAGGGCGCGCGGCGGTGCTCAACGCGCTTGAGACTCTCGTTGTCCTCGCCTTTGCGCCGCAGACGTGGCGCGCGACGTTTTCGGCGCGCGACGGGCATGTGCCTGACGGTGTGGCCGACGTCGGCGCCGCCGCTGCCGATGCTGCTCTGACTCACGTTCCGTGGAACAGCCCGCGACTTTACATGCAGACCGGATGGGTGCGGCTCGCGCAGCCGCGGCCGGTCTCGGCGCCGGTCTCGGAGCCGCTGTTCGCGCCGCCGCTGGCGCAAGCCGCAGCCACCACGCGCAAGGGCGTGTCCGGCGGGTCGTCCGAGGCCGCGGCGAGCCTCACCGCGCTCGACGTTCTCGACCGCATTGCCGCGCTGATGCTGGAGTGCTGGATCGAGTCGGACCCGTCTTCGCGGCTGTCGCTGGCGCGGGCATCGGCGCTGCTCTCGGTTGTCCGCGTGCTCTCGACCCTGGTCGGCGCCGTAATCGAGGCCGGCCTGGTCCTGCCGGCTCGCCTTGCTACCGTCGTTCGCGACCATACGACCAACCACTACCTGGCGGCGTTTCCGGTGTCGTCGCCGATCCCGTCCCGGGCCAATGCCAAGCAGGCCGCACTCGCTCGTTCGCTGGGCGAGACCGTCACCTCGCTCAACGTGGCGCTGTGCTCGCTCGCGGCACAGCTGGCGGCGGCGCCCGTCGAGGCCGGCACGGCGCCGCTGGCGCTGGCAGCGGCGTCGCTGGCGGACATGACCCCGTTCCTGGCCTCGCTGCTTGTCCCACCGTCCACTGACGCCTTTTCTGGCTCGGATCCGCTCGCCGCCACCGCTGGTCACCGCCGAGTTCTGCAAGCGCTTCCGGTCTATGTTGAACTGCTACTTGCCGATCGCGAGACGACGGCGGCCACGGCGGCGCTGGAGCCGCTTCTCGGAGCCGTCACCGAACTGCTTGCGTCGCAGGTTGTGGTGGCCGACCCGACGGCGACGCTGCTGGTGCTCGACGTGGTGGCAGCTGTGGCGGCGCGCCGCGCCGCGTTTGGCGCGACCGACAAGCGCAAGCCGAGCAAGCGTGAGCGTGCCATGGGCAAGTTTACCTCGCCGATCATTGCCAAGTGGGCGCAGCTCCTGTTCAAGATCCTTTGGGTGCTCAAGGGTGGCTCGCCGCAGGTCTCGCGCCGGGTTCTTGGCCTTCTTGCCCAGTGGGCGCTCTACGATCCAGTGAGCTCCGAGCTTGGCAGCGCGTTCCACGCGGTCTCGCGGCTGGTCGGTCCTCTCCTCGCGGTCAAGGTCAAAGGCCAAGTGGTGGGCGGCCCGTTCCTGGCGCTCGACCCGTCGCTGCAGGCCCTCGCGTTGCACCTACTCCTCCGGCTGCAGGCGCTCCCGCAGTCTGTGGTCAATGCGTGTGCATACATCGTCCACGCGCCACAGCTCTCGATCGTCACGCTCGACACCTTGCTAGAGGTTCTCTTTGCGGCCGTGACCGTCAAGTCCTCGCTCGAGCTCGGCGAGTTTGTCTCGCTTGTTGTCTCTGCCCTTGTCAAGCCGGACGCCGCCTTTGCCGCCGCCAGCGAGCTGGACGAGCACGGCCAGGAGAAGCGGAAGCGCAAGCGTGGTGATGACGCCCGCATTCGTGGTGGGCAGATGGATCCGGCCGCCGCCGCCTGGGTCGACAAGCTCGCCCGCCTTGACCTCCTTGTCACATGGACCATCCGTCTCGACAGCCACATCGGAGCCGATGGCGAGGTTCTTTCAGCCGTTGTCGCCGCTGTCTCTTCGCATCTTGACGCGTCCGACGAGCCCGCCCTGGTGGCACAGCTGGCGCGGCTCCGGCTCGCCGCCACCGCCGCCGCCGCCGAGGTTGCCGCCACCGCCGCCGCCGCCGTCTACGATCTCGGCTTTGGCACCAACTCGGCACTTGCCTCGATCCTCCCGGCACAGGTCCTCACCAAGCTCCTCGACGCCATCGACACTGCAGTCGACACCTTTGGTGACGCCTTTTTCTCTTCTGCCGACCGCAAGGCCTACCTCCAAGCCCGGTCGTTCATTGCCCGCGGTGGCGCGGCCTGGCGATGAGGCACTACCGCGCTAGCGCGCACGAGGTCCGCCACCGATCTGCGCCCGAAAAGCACCCGTTGTCGACATCGACTCCCGTATTCAGCCCGGCCTCGCCAACGACACACATTGCCAACGTCGACCAGTGCCTCTCTTCACACGCAGAGAGAGAGTAAAGCCCCGAAAAATGGAGTATGCCCGCGTCTGACCCACACTCGCCATGTCGGCATCGACAAGGTCGCCGTGGACCGAAATTGGGCAATTCCCCATTCATTGGCGACTGTGGTGGTGACCACCAACAATAACCACTATGCTGTTGGTAGGTAATTCATGCGATGGTCATCCCCGGGACTCCAGCCAAGGCCACTCGGAGGACACCCTGGGGAACTCCCCTGCCACCACCAAGCCCTCACACTCCACCCTCTTACACACACACACACACGCACACACACACACGCACACACACGCACACAATTTCTCCTTCTCTCTCTTTCTGTCTGTCCTCCAAGTCGTCGCGCTTGCTGTGAGGGAAAAGACTCCCCTTCCCCCCCCCCCCCCCCTCCCCCCCAAACACCCACCCACCACAACCAACTGGTCGTGTTTGCAGTCACCTCGCCACCCCCCACCCCCCATCCCCTTCCCCCTTGCTCACACATACGCTGTTGTCAATGAGCGCAACAACACCCGAGGTGCTGCTGGTCGAGTCGGCTGATGCCACCACTTCGGTCTCGGGCACACCGCGCAAGCTGAAGCGGAAGCGTGAAGGTGGGAGCGGCGCTGGTCGTCCTGCCCTTCCCGCAAGCTCGGCTCCAGCCGTGGCACCCGCCGGCATCGCCAGTGAGAGGACGACACACAACGGGCGAGCCGTTGGTCGGAACAGTGCTGCGCCGGCTGTGCCGGGCCGGAAGCGGTCGTCGGGCCGGAGCGTGGCGGCGTCGGCCTCGAAGCGGGCAAGCTCGGGCAAGGCCAAGAAGTCCAAGTCCAAGTCCAAGGCTAAGAGCAAGGACAAGAACAAGGCCAAGAGCAAGAGCAAGAGCAAGGCACGGGCGTCGAGCCAGCGGTCGGGCAAGGCCAGGAGCGGCAAGTCCAAGTCCAAGTCAAAGGTCACGGCCGTGGCAAGGGCCCGGCGCGGTGACGAGGCGGTGCGGATGATGGCGGCACCGCCGCAGACCTCGTCGGGTACGCCTGCTGGGCAGCCTGGAACGGACGATCCCGGAACACACTCGCGGGCAGCAGTGGCGGCCCTCGAGTCCAAGGCGGCAGTGGCGGCGTCGTCGGCAGCGGCAGCAATGGGCGCCGCGTCGGACGCAAGGAAGCGTGAGGCGGACGTGCCGCGCGGCTACCCGCTCGACTACGCACACGTCAACGAGACGTTCCCGCCGGAACGGTTTGACGTCGATGGCTTTACCATCAAGTACTCGGACTTTTCGCAGTATAAGCTGCGGGAGAAGATCGGCGAGGGCGCGTACTCGGAGGTGTTTGTGGCCAAGCGCAAGAGCGACGGAGTCAAGGTTGTGGCCAAGCAAATCAAGACTGAGAAGGAGACAAAGGCCAAGCTCAAGCGCGAGCTGCTCATGCTCCGGCTTGTCTCGGGCTGCGACCGGATTGTGCAGTGGCTGGACACGGTGCAGGACCCGGTCAAGGGCTACAAGTACTTTATTTTCGAGTTTATCGAGAACCCCAACTTCCGCATCACCTTTTACCGGTTCAACGACCTCGAGGCGCGACTGTACCTGTACCAGCTCTTGCTGGCGCTCGACTACACCCACTCGCAGGGCATCATCCATCGCGACGTCAAGCCCCGCAATGTGCTGTACAACCCGGTGACGCGGCAACTGCGTCTCATCGACTGGGGCTTTGGCGAGTTCTACTGGCCGGGCAAGCCCATCGAGAAGTGGCCCGGCACTCGGTACTACAAGGCGCCCGAGCTCTTCTTCCGCTACCCGTACTACGACTACGCCGTTGACATGTGGTCGTACGGCTGCGTCGTCGCCACCCTCGTCTTTGCGCGCATGCCCATGTTCAAGGGCCGCGAGGACTCACTCTCCCAGCTCATCGAAATCTCCAAGTGTCTCGGCACGCAGGGCCTGCACAACTACCTGCAAAAGTATCGCATCGCCATCCGCTCCAAGTTCCGCACTGGCATCAAGAAGCGCAAGCGCCGCTCGTGGCTTCACTACCGCAACCCAAAGCACCAGGAAAAGTGCACCACGCTCGGCATGGACCTCGTGGATAAGCTCCTGCGCTGGGACCACGAGCACCGCCTCACCGCACGTCAGGCTCTCGCCCACCCTTTCTTCGATCCTGTCCGCCACACCGACGTTCCACAGCACCTCCCGCCGCTGCCAGCCTCATCCACCGGCTCCTCCTCCGAATATGTCTACTACTATGACGACGAGGATGACGCCGCCGCCGCCAATTGAATGTGCCGACCAACAGCGGCAGCTCTGCTCTTGCGGCATACCCTTCCCCCTCGCCCACCTTGTACATCAGGCGCCCTCCTTTGCTGTGCTGGGAGAATTTGTCGAGAACGAATTCGAGGCTTCGAACGGTGGTGGTTGACACAGGCCACACAACACCACCCTCCTTCTCCCCACGTCTCCGACCACAGCCACCACCTCACGCCCAGTCCGCACAGCCCGCCCGCCACACCACACACCCATCCACCATGTCCAAGGTACACCCCACATCCACCCACCCACCCTTCCCTCCCCACCTCCCCCCCCCCCACTCCCCCATCCCCCCCGCTGTCCCCACTCCTTCTACAGGCCAACTCCCCCTCCCCCTTTCCCCTTTCGTTCTTTTTCCAACCACTCACCCCCCCCACCCTCCCCCACCCCTCCCGCACACATAGCGCCATGGCATCTCGGTGGAAATCCCACAGGCAGGAGAAACAAGCTCGCCGTCGCTTCATTCGGCTGTGGCAAAACAAGATCTGACGGCTGTGCGCAAGGTTCTGGCTCATGACAATGCTATTCCGCTCGAAGCTCGGGACGCCTTCCAGAGGACGCCTCTGGTGGTTGCTGCCAAGCGCGGTGATGCCACCATTCTGTCGTACTTGCTGGCCAAGGGAGCCGATCCGACGGTGGAGGCTTCGTTTGGAGTGACGCCTGGCGGGTGGGCGGCGCACAATGCGCACTTTGCCGACTCGATCAAGGAGGCGTTTGTGGGCCATCCGCTCTCGTGGGCCATCCGCAACAACCACTTTCAGACCGCCCGCATCCTCCTCTCGCACCCGACAACGCACGAGCCATTTGCCGATGCCGACGCCTCCCGTGCCGCCACAGACGTCTTTGGCGAGACTGTCGTCCACGCTTGCGTCCGCGCTGGCAACGCCCGCCTCCTCAACATGGTCCTTGCCTTTGGCACTTGGGACGCCACCGCAACCAACGCGGCGGGGCAGACGCCGCTCGAGATCGCGCAATCCGAGGCCCTCCGTCACATCTTTAGCCAGGCGGCCTTGTGGACAGCGCCCGCCCCCGTGCCGGCGTCGGTCCACGCCGCGCTCGCCGACAACTCGTTTCCCGGCATCCGCGCCGCTGTCGACGCCTACGGCCTCGCCGGCCTCAACGGGCCGGGCGCACTCAACGATGCCGGCGAGACGCCGCTGTTTGCCGCCGCAAAGGCCGGCCTCGGCACCATTGTAGCGTACCTGCTCTTCCGCGGCGCCGACCCGACCATCAAGGACAAGCTCGGCAACTCGCCGCTCCATGTCGCTGCGTTCTACGACCACTTTGAGACGGTGCGCATTCTGCTCTCACATGCACGGGTCCACGCCGCCTTTACCGGCGACGACGGCGACGCCTACCGCAAGACGGTCAACGGCGAGACGGTCCTGCACATGGCGGCGCGGTCCGACAACGCCGACCTCGTCCGGCTTGTCCTCGCGTTTGAGACCTTTACCACCGAGCTCACTGCGACTAACAACCAGGGCCAAGCGCCCAAGGACGTGGTGACACAGCTCGATGTGCGGACGGTACTCAAGTCTGCAGCGGCAGCGGCCGATGCCGGGGCCATCGAGCTTCCGCTGGCGTCGCCGGTCCCGATGACGCCGCGGGTCGACTCGCGCATCTGCGCCGTCTGCCTCTGCCCGCCGGAGCAGAGCGTGTCCAAGGTTCTCTTTACCTGCTCGTGCCTCGCGGTCATCTGCGACCGTTGTCTCGGACAGACTGTGTTCGACGGCGTGTCGAATCCGGACAGCGATGGCTTCCCGCGGTGCATCAACACCCTCTGCGCCCGCCGCATCCCGTTGCACGTCGTCTCGGACCGGCTCCCGGCCTCGCGGCAGCTCGAGCTCATTGCTGTTGTCGTCAACGAAACCGTTCGAAAGGCGTCGGCTGACGAGAAGCCGGCCATTCAGACCTGTCGCGTCTGCTCCCGCGACAACGACCTCACCCCGGTTCTTGCCTCGGACTCGCCGGCCTACGCCTGCTCGCACTGCGGCGTCCGCCTCTGCGCCGTCTGCAACAACATCTTCCCGCAGTCGTCGGTCGACTCGGAGATCCACGCCGCCTGCCATGACCGCTTCCCCTACGTCGCCCGCTTTGGCCAGCTACAGGACATCATTGCCGCTGCCTCGTTCCGCGCTTGCCCGCAGTGCGCCGTCGCGCCACATGCTCAGCCCGGTGCCCTCGCGCCAACGGCAGCGGTCATCGCCTGTTCGGGCTCGTGCGGCGACGGCGTCACGTATTGTGCGCTCTGCGGCGCAGCGCGCAACGCCGATTCCGACGCGTGCACCGAGGCATGCACCGCCGTGTCGGCCGCCGCCGCAAACGCAGGCATTGCCGACCTGGTCGAGACCGCCGCACTACTCCGCGCCCGCATCGCCATTCTCGACCTCGCCGCAGACATGGGCCGGGCCCACTTTGTGGAGATGGTCAACCGGTTCAAGTGGCACGACTCGCTCAACACGGCGTACTTCCACGGCCTCTTTCCGTTTACCGACGAGCACGCCGGATTTGCAGACGACGCGCTCCCGCAGTGGCTCGCCTTTGAGCCGGCCGCGCTTTGGCCGTTTTGGGCCGCTGCGGCGCCGGCAGTCCTCGGCGTCGCCGCGCCCGAGCCCGCCAGCATCACCCCGCTCGACAACGACAACGAATCCGAGGCGCCGGCAACGGCCGACGGCCAATAACACAAGTACATTCACCTCTGCGCAAACATGGCAAGCCACTCGTGGCTCAGCAGCGCCTCGGCGGTTGTGCGCGAGGCTGGATCCACCGCAAAGCATTGGCGCAAAAAGTCGGCGCACTGCGGCGAGACGGCGACGCTCTGGGGCAGCTGGTGGCCGTAGTCTTGGCGGGCGAGAACCGAGCCGATGTAGAAGAACGCCCGCACGTCGCCCATGGCCAGCAGTGGGGGCGCGCCGACAAGCATCTCGTACACTGTGCAGCCGAGCGCCCAGATGTCGCCGGCTGGCGCCGGCGTTGTGTTGCGGACCACCTCGGGAGCCATAAAGTACGGCGTGCCGACAGTGCCGCGAGTCCCAGTCCCGGTCTTGGCCTGCCACGCGAGGCCAAAGTCGGATATCTTGAGCACCGTCACGTCGCCGGCAACATGGACAAGCACGTTGGCAGCCTTGATATCGCGGTGGAGAATCGAGTTGGCGTGCAGGTACGCGAGCCCGCGCAGAATCTGCGCCGTGTACCGCGCCACAATAACCTCGGGCAGGCCGTCAACACCTTCGTCAAGGTCGTCGAGCATGCCACGGACCGATCCTGAGGCACAGTACTCTTGAAAGATGCGGAGCATGCCCTCGCTCTGTGCCACCCCCTTATACCGCACAATGTGCTCGTGCTCGAGCTCCTGCAGCATGCTCACGGTCTCGACAAGCATGCTAGCATTGGCCACCTCTTTCTCGTCGCTCGCTGCAAACGAGACTTCCTTGACCGCGTACATGCCACCGTCGTCGAGGTCGATGCCGAGGTACACCACGGCCTGCCCGCCCTGGCCCAACAGTTTGGCCTTGACAAACCGCAGCTCGTTACCCTCGCGATGGCTGAACAAGCCCAGCACAGCTGTCACATCCGACGCCGAGGAATTGGCCACCAGTTCCAGGCCCGACTCGCCGTCGCCACCCTCGCCGCCACCCGCGCCGCCGGCATCGCCGACGTACTCGTAGTCGTACGACTCGTCGTCGTCGCACTCGTCGTCGGACCACGAGGCCGAGGTGCGGAAGACGGCCGGCCGCGACCACGGGCCGAGACCTGCAGCGTTGCGCGCCCGGACTTGAACCCAGTACTCGGTTGACGGCGAGAGTTCCGAGATGAGGAGCTGCGGCTTGACGGAGGAAAACAGCTTCCAGTCACGCGCCGCCGCCTTGGCCGGGTTCTTGGACGTTGCTTGGATCATGAACGACGTCACCGACGCCGCTGTCCCCTGCACGCCCCACGAGAGGAGGAGGTCGACCGGCGAGCAGCCCATGAGCTGTGGCGGGGCGATCTTGCGTGGCACCGCGTGGTTCGACGTGACCAGAAAGACTACGTTGCCAATCTTGACAAGGTCGTCAAAGGCAAAGAGCAGTGAGCCGCCGGGAGCAAGCTCCTCCCATGCCACAGCATTGAGGTCGAGCTCGTCCTTACAGTCACGGACAAGGTAGCCGACGCTACCGCGCGCCGTGACCTTATACCGCGCCTCGGGACTCGAGTGCCGTCGCTCGATGGGCGAGAGGAACGAGAGCTCGGCGTGTGAGCGCTTGAGGGCATGGCGAGCCGAGAGCGGCGCCTTGGGCACCCCGATGGAAAACCGAACCACACCGGCGCGGCGGACAGTGACAGGCTTGCTCGACTCGCGCCCGATGAGGTATGTGTGGCCGGGCGACATGAGAAAGGTCGATCCAGCGCCCGGCCCGGCCACCACGTGCAAGGCCAGATCGGTTGCCGACTCGCCGGCGGTGACAGTCCCGTCAAACTCGGCGGCCGTCGTCAACGAGTGCCCTAGATCGACGTCGTGCCCGGGAGCAAGCGCGATTGACTCGACCACCAGCCGCAGATCGCCGGCAAGAACAAGTACCGAGAGTGGCTCCAGCTTGACCGGCGGCGCCCGCTCATGGCGGTTGCCCAGAAAGGTCTCCAGCACGCCATGCGGCGACGGAGTCAGCAGCAACGTCCCGTTGGCCGACTTCAGGTCCTTGACGTAGAAGGCGCCCGCCTCAAACCAGACCTTGAGATGAGCGCCCGAGACCCGCTCGGTCTTGAGGACGCAGACATCACCCGGATAGCCCGACCTGGCAATCCGCGTGGTCATCGTCTCTGCCACCCGACCAAAGTACGCAGGCTTGTCCGACGTCACCGTGAATCGCACCCGCTTGGCCTCCTTGTCGGGGTGGGCCGAGAGGACCACCCGCGAGCAGCCACCACCACCGCCACCGCTGGTGCTGCTGCCACGCCCACGTTCGCTTGTCCCAGACTCGGACATTGGGTCTGACGGGGGGGGAAGGAGGAGGAGGAGGAGTGTGAGGTGGACGAGTATGTGGTGTTTGAGGAGGAGGGGGGGGGGGGAGGGGGAGGGGAGGGGAGAGGGGGGGGGGGGGAGAGAGAGAGGGAGAGAGAGACTTGGTCGACCAACCGGTGGTGGTCAGCGATGGCATGGCTGGCGGCGGTGACGAGCAAGGGGTATAGCCGGTACTGTGCGATGCTAGGGGGTTTGCCGCGATCAATGTGTACAATGCTGGGCAAGAAGCTCGTAGTGGCGGTGGCAGGGCTCTTCATCTCGACTGACAGTTTCTCATTGTGCTGAGCGGAAGTGTGAAGACGGCGGCGATGGTGCAGGTGCGGACGACTCCGCTGCGCGAGCGATGGGAGATCACGACTCTTGTGGCGACGGACGTGGGAGCGGAAGCCATACTGCTCTACGGCATGTTGGTGTGGTCATGCCGGGCGGGGTCGTCGAGCTCGGAGATGGGGACGGCGACGCGTGGCCATCAGTTGGCGGGCGTCGCGTGCAGGAAGCGGGCCATGCGGGCGATGGTGGCGGTCGACTGGAGAGAGACGTAGTTGGTGACCGAGGCCGGGAGCCATCCGTTGAGATCGACGCAGGTGACGTAGGTGACGCGGACGCCGGGAGCGGGCGCACCGGGGTGGAGCGGGCGGAAGATGTAGCCTGAGGTGTAGCAGGTGGCGCGGACCGAGTCTGGAGCGTGCTCGGCGGGCTGCGGCTCGTTGACCGAGAACGAGACGACGGTGATGGTACCATCTGCGGCGACACGCGAGCCGGCCAGGACGAGAATGTCACGGCCGGCGACCGGTCCTCCGCCACGGAACACCATGTGCATGATCTTGTAGTACGGGTTGTACTCGTGGACGGTGGCAATGCGCTTGATCATGTTGTCCCACTTTGCGCGGGCGGGAATGTCCTTGAGGAGGCGGTAAAAGTCAAGCGGCGAGAGGTCGTCGTAGGTGGCAACGCCGCGGACAGCGTAGAGGCTCGAGTTCTCGTGGGAGGTCTGGCGCGAGGTGGTGACTCCGCTCCGGGCGGTGACATGGACAAACTGCGGGTCGTCCTCGTAGCGGACGAGAGCAGCGTAGGCGGCGTCGATGCGTGCCGCCAGATGCGGCGGGTAGTCGGCCTGCCAGCCCGACGCAGGCGTGAGGGCGGTGAGGTCGGGCTCTTGCGGAGAGAGGTGAGAGGGGGGCGCCGGCGAGCGTGATGGCGGAGCCAAGGGCACCGGCGGTGGAGGGTGCAGCGCTGCGCGGAGGAGCAGACCCATCGTAAATGCGTAATCGCGGTGCGCCGTGTCAAAGAGCGCGAGAACTGCTGACGAGTGGGTGATGCCGCGGTGGAGCGGGACGAGGGTGGCAGCGGCGCCATGGCCGATGAGCGCGTCGACAAACTTGGAGGCAGCAGAAAAGGGGACGGTGGTGTCGGCGACAGGATGGACAACGTAGAGGTGCGGAAGGGCGCCGAGGTCGGGAGCGCCGATGAGGCGCGGCATGGCGGCACGCCAAGCGTGCCAGTAGGTGATGGTGCGCGAAGAGGAGAAGAGCGGGAAGAGGCTGGCGTCGCCGCCCATGGCCGGCTTAAGGCCGGAGAGATGGGCGACCGACCGGCCGAGCTCGTACTGGTAGTGGTCGGCCACGTCATGCGGGGCGGCGATGGTGACGGCTGCGGCGAGGGAGGACGGCGACCACGCGTGGAGGGCTGACGGGGCAGCATGGAGCAGGCCCTGCATCTCGGCGACGGCCTGGTCAATGAGGGCCAAACCGAGCAGGTGGCCGCCAGCCGAGTGGCCAATAGCAGTGACCGGGACGGAGCGAGCGGCAGTGAGGACGGCGCGGGCGTGGTGGGAGAGGGCGCCGCGGGCAGCCAGTGCCGCCGCCAGCCAGTCGGGATCGAGGGCGGCGCCGATGGCAGCGCGGACGTCTGAGACCATGGCGAGGCAGTCACCCTTTGGGACGAGGACGTAGTCGGCCACAACTACGAGTAGACCCTGATCAGCCAGATGATGGGCGGCAGGAGCGTAGAAGAACTTGCTCCCGGACGACCATGCGCCGCCGTACAAGTAGACGACGACGCCGCGGAGACATCGGGGCGAGGCAGCGGGGATGTAGAGATCCAAAGCCGATGCCGAGGAAGGTGCGTAGCGGATGTCTCTCAGCACCATCGCCGAGGGCGGCGGCGAGAGATGCCACGCCCACAAGCGGAGATAGAGCGGGATAGAGGTGACCGAGAATACGAGGTGGTCGACCACGGCGGGAGCGCGCCGAGGTCTGCAGCAAGCGTCCCGCGCGGAGCGCGCATCAGTCTCCAGCCGTAGCGGGCGATGAGTGTGAAGGGCACGAGCAGAAGGAGGAGAGCGAGCCAGGTCATGGTGGAAGGGGAGGGGGAGGGGAGGGGGAGTGGGGGGTGAAGTGGTGGGGTGGTGGTCGCACGCGACACGCGAGCGAGACGGACACGGGCACACCGTGACGTAGTGGGTAGGGGGGGGGGGGTTGATGACGATGGATGTAAGGATGGATTGGAT